GCACAACGCTCTGTTTATAGAAACTTCTACCCTCATGAATATGTAAACTGAACTGTATGGGAAATTTAAAGTAGACTTAGACGTCGATTAATGTAACAAATTATATTCACTCTAAAAATTGTATAACATATAATGGAAATTCATGAAAAAAATTAACTTGAGTATAATATTTCCGAACATTTTAAATATTTCTAAATTCATCACGATTCATGAACTTTATTTTCGCATTAAGATTCTATTATTGGGAGTAAAAATATTATTTATAACCACAGCGTAAAAATTAATATTATAAAACGGGATATCAAAACCATAAATATAACTTTTGTGAATTTTGCACAATTCGAGTTACAATAATTAAACGTATTTTGCTGAAACAATTATTTTTGAAATTGTTACAATTATTACAAATGGTTTATTTATACCGCATACACACACACACACATATATATATATATATATATATATATATATATATACGTAATCATATATATTTTTTTTCATCAAAATGATTGTCAAATGTCTTTTTCGATATTTTTTTTTACTCAGGATGGATAAATTGTAGTGTAGAATTTGTAACTCCATCTATAAGTAGATAATTATCACGTGTGTGCACTTCTCTCCCAGTAATGCCTGTCGAGTGCAAAGCAGTGTAGAGCAACCAGAATTATGAGAGATTACAAAATTAATTCTGCAGAATGTTTTTTTGCACTAAGCCGGGTTCGAACTTGTGACTGCGCGCATCGTAGCTAGCCGTATGGATACTGCACCACACTACCAAATACAAGGTGGTATTCATTTAAAAAATTTTTTTCGCTATGGGTCGTTTTTCTAGTTCTCTCTACGGTTTGCTTTCGAAGCTTTCGAATAAATATTTATATGTAAATCGATCACGACTACAGCAACAATGTTTACACAGAAAATAAATTGTTTTTATCCAAAATAAATTCGAATTGACCAAATCAATATATTTTACCGACGGCCAAAAATATTAGCCACTCATTACGATCAACAGTGTGCGTCGTCGATTTTAAACGCCTACACAGGATCGCCAATCTTTGGTTATACATCTTCACGTTTCAACTGTAAAACGTACAGACACGTGTTGTTTTTGATGTTTATATTTATAGCATCGTTTTACCGACCATTTTCACGAATCGAAAGATAATCATTATTTGATTGATCAACGAATTAATTATTTCGATTTAATCAATTCGATTAATTGTTTGTTATACCACTAGTGGTGCACGTCACGATATGATCATCCCCCGGATGGTGCTCTGGAAAAGCGCATGCTCCGCAAAATAAATTACTGTGATTATGTGGTTGTTACGTGAACGAAACAATCGTTAGCAGAATCCGTCGACGACAGTACCGAAAAAGATTTGCATTTTTCAGATTACAAACGATTGACGGGTCCCGTGAGTACTTTCGCGTCACCGCGAACACCGTGATAATATATACGCCACCGAGTGCGGATCAATGATTGCTGATTCGCATGGCGTGTACGAGACACGATGACATTACGACGATTTTAATTATAATAATAATATGAACGTGTAGCGATAGGAAAAACAAGGGGATGAGTGAAAAACGGTGAATACGAGATGAATGATAGATCTGAAGTTGTTGAGTTGCATGCGATGTCATTGGTACGTAGTAGTTCCTATGATAATTATCTCTATGGTTGTAATATTATTATACTGCAGGTGTATTGAACACATAGCGAGTCTACTTCTTGAACAATCATTTTATAGCATATATACCAGTGGTATTATAACTGGTATGCCATGATGTTAAAAAAAAATACTTAGCCAGCGGTGCGCAACCTTTTTTATCCACGACAATCAAATTTATTGTTAATTTATTTATTTTTATGAGGTGACTACCCCACCAACATTATGTAAGCGTATAATATGTAATTACTTAATGTAAACAAAAATTATATTTATATAAATTAAACCGTTACTTTTAGCCAATTTTAATATTGTATTTATTAAATTAATCCAAAGCATAAAAAAAAATTAAAGTTTTATAAAATCTAAAAAAAAATATAAAGTTATATAAAACAACATTATATTATATAACTTTTTTATTTGATGTTAAATGATTTATGCCCCCCCCCCAGGTTAAGCATAGCTGCGCTAAACTATGACTAAAGAAAAATAAGTTGATTATGGAAGAGGCATTTAGTGAAAAACACAATGTGCCGTGATTAAAACGAGTTCGAGGACCACAGACATAATGTTCTTCTGTTCTACTATGTTACGCACGCACGTCACACAAGCGTTATTAGTATTGTTAATTAATTATTCAAGAAAGAATCCGTGTCCGTTTGAATAAAAAACAACTACCTATGCGTTTGGTTACGGTGGATCGAAATCAAAATCATATATTACGTTATTATGTTGCCCACGGGCTTGTGTATTGGCGAAAAAAACTATTTCATGGTTACATAAAAATTACTCGTGTTCGCGAAAAGGGTCCGAATGAATTCAATCTAATAGATTGATAATATATTGCATCATTTTAAGTTAAATGTGTTTTATTTATGACGACATTTTTGTTCTCATTTAATGGAAATACTCGTATATTTAATTCATCGATACGAATGTTTGTAAATATTCAATTTTGCTGTTTAGTCAAAACTCTTATTGATTTATAACCGCACTCAAAAAAACTTGAATAAATTAAATGTAGTGCTGCATTTAAATATATACGGAGAACATGGTCATTATATTGTACTCCCCTTTTTCATTTTTCGGTTTGTATACATTTTTAATTCGTCATATTAATTCAATGTATTTTTTATTAGTTGGTATACGCGCCACTAATTCATCATTGTAAACCCATGATTTTAATTTTATTAACGGGTACACTCCAGGTATGTCAAAAATTGTAAAGTGGGTACATATCATTATCTCTCACTTGTATAGGTTTACCACCTCTCTGCACCGTTTATACATTTAATCGATATACATTAAATATAATATCATCCTTATTAGAATGGCATTTTTCTTTGTTTGAGTTTTGTTTTTGTTTAACATAATAAGGGTTTGAGTTTGTTATTCCCAGCGGATGGCGACACGAATAGCACTAATATATTCACAGGCAGTTTACCACCAAGTCACGTTGTCTTTTTCGTGTAATTGTTATTTCAAAGAACCGTTTTACTCGAACCGGAATAACGAAGAAACAATTTGAATATACTGGATTTCTTAATTTGGAAACCAAGTATGAGCGAAATTACATTTAGTAAATGATATTGATTTAAATACACGATGGATTTATAGCGGAAATCAATTCAAAGTTGAGTTCGATAAATATTCTAATAAAGCATATTTCAAATATATGTCGATATGAAAAACTGTGAAGAAATCTATTGAAATGACAAATTTTATTAACTAATTAAAACTTTAAATTTAATTCATCGTATTTTTTCTACTTAATCTAAACATATCAAGTAAGATACGAGTACAATTCAAAATTGATACGAATATCATTTTATAAAATAATATTTTTATAGAGTTTAATAGGCCTTTAAAATTTTTACAAGTTTCTATCAAGTCTTTCCAGCTGTCTCGATTTCTTGCTTTTTCTATTTTTATACAATTTTTCAATTGCTTAATTACTTTATCCAGTCAACATTGACAGAATCTTCCTATTAGCCATTTATTTCTAGGGTTCCTGACCAATATATTGCGCATAACGCTTCTTTCCGCTCGTCACTCATGACAACACATTCCAGTCGTTACGCTTTGAGATACTTCCCGATGTTTTATTTTTTGTATAGGTTGTCTAAATCCACGTTTTTCCTTCTTTCATACATCCATTTTGGATTTTTGTGGGTCCATGTTTTTTTTCAGAACTTTTCTTTCAAATGTTAATAGTATTTCTTAATTTCCTTACGTGAGGGACTATGTTTCATATGCGTACATGGTCACTGAACTCAATTAACAAGTAAATATATTTCTTTCATGTTTTTTGTTAACATCTTGGAGCTTAACATTTTGTTCATAAAATTCGTTTATAAGGTGTCAAAATAAATAAATAAAACTAAAAATTATAATGAAAACCAAAATATAGTAGCATCGGTTATAGTTTATAAAATGTATCATTGAAAAGTTTTTTTTTTTTTACAATAGGTCGGTAACTATATAACCGATCGATAACGTAATTTTGATCCCGGATTTCGGACAACATTTCAAATATAACATATGATTAACGAGGTAGAAAAAAATCAAATAATCGTCTGAAATGATCTTGGAATCATGAGCTTTACGAAGATTCAGACTGAAATAGAGTTATAAAGATGAAAAATATGCTAAAATTATCAAATATGTCTACAGAATTATTTAGGAAAAATTTGTCGTAACCTAGAAAAATTAAGGTCATTGGTAACTCCATTTCATTAAGTTCGATCAGACACAGGTATGAGGATCATACGAATCCGAACCGGTGTTTATACTTTAACCACTAAATTAAACCAATAATCAGGATATTATTGATGTCCAAAAATCATATACTATGGTAATCATTGTGACCATAGATTTATTATCCAAAGAGCCAAAATACATATTTATATATATATACCGAAAACATGTTATAAGCTCTACAAACGGTAATAACGGTAACCTTTTTATACCATTTGTAATCGGTGCTAATGGTTTGGAATATTATTTTAATTTATTTATTTATATATTCTACGGTTTTTCACATTTTCTTAAAAAAAAAATCAAAAGAAAAAACCACCAAGTACTTTTGGTACACGACTTAAAATCCGTGAAAGCTAATAACGGATTCATCTGTTAGGAATGACGGAATGGAAATCTTCCAACGGCGGATTCAGTTTGACCACTTCGGTGGTCGTAACGCACACACGGTCTAAGCGCACGCAAACTAAACAGGGTCGCCTCGCGCCACTCGACCACTCGGCCACCCGGCTGACCAGCTCCGGGATACGATTTACATTCACGATCGATAATCGGCTAGCGTGTTCTTACCTGCGGAAATCTCTGCTCCAGCACGCGTATATGACCGGATTCATGCCGCTATTGATCCAACCGAGCCACGTGACGACGGAAGATAGCAGCTGGTCCTTGAAAACGCAGCTCTCGTCGCAGAACCCGGACAGCAGGTTGACGACGAAGAACGGTAGCCAGCACACGATGAATACGCCCATGACGATGCCCAATGTTTTAGCCGCCTTCTTCTCGCGCGAGAACTTACTCAGCTTCCGACTCAGCGAGAAGTTCTTCTGCAGCTGGTGGGCACGCGCGTACCCGGCGCCGCTCGTGGCCGACGCGGAAGTGGTCGTGCCGCCACCGCGGTGTATGCGCAATGTGAGCTCCATGCGCCCACCACCGGCCACACCGCCGCCGCTGTCGCCACTCCGGCCACCGCCCCAGACGCCGTTACCACTCCGGCTGCCGCAACCACCACTGCTGCCACCACCGCCGCTGCCACTGCCACCACCTCCACCACCGCCGCCACCGCAACCACCGCTGAAGCCCGAGGTGGCGGATGACAGCACCTTGGTGCCCAGCCGCTGGCACCGGGTCTGCGTGACGGCCGCGGTGTAGATCTTGTAGTAAGTGAACACCATGACTAGCAGCGGCACGTAGAACGATATGGTGGACGAGAAGATCAGGTAACCGGTGCTGTTGGTGAACGGGCATGTGTGCCGCGGCACGGGTTCGGCGCGCACCAGCCGCCACCAGATGATGGCCGGGAAGCTGATGACGCTGCTACATACCCAGACAGCCGCGATCAGCCGGTACGCACGCCTCCGGCTCATCTTGGTCGGGTAGGTGAATGGGTCGGTGATCGCCCAGTACCGGTCCAACGAGATCACGCACAGGTTCAGTATGGACGCGGTGCTGAACAACACGTCCAGCGATCGCCACACGTCGCACGCGTTTATGCCGAACGTCCAGTAGTGGTCGAGCACCTCGTGCACCGCACTCACTGGCATCACTACCAGGCCCACCAAGAAGTCGGCGAATGCCAGCGACGTGATGAAGTAGTTGGTGGCCGTGTGCAGGTACCGTTCCCGGACCACGGCTATGATCACCAGGCAGTTGCCGAACACGGTCACCATGCAGAACAGCATCAGCACCACGGACAGCGGGAACCGTTCACCAAACGTCGACCGCCAATCGGCCTCCGACATCGCCGTCATCACGTCGTCGTACTCGTCCGTCACCCCGTCCGTCACGTTCGCCACCGTCCAGTTCATCGCGCCTTGTCCTCGATCAACCCTCGCAGCACATTCAACGGCCGCTGTGGCTCGTCATCGCTTCGACCCGTCACTGAAAAACATATGCGCTCGCGTTAATATCGATATTACGGGGACGTGACCGTTGACGTGTCACCGGGGATGGTTTTTCGAATGAAATGTTCGGTGAACCATTTTATAATGTTACACTTAACGTGTATCGTGGATAAAATTCAACAACGAATTACGGTAGCGATCGTTTTACAGACGGTCGAGGACACCCTGATTCGGTGTTCGTTAACGATACCGAACGTCCACCTATAGGGTTGTCTAATGAAATCGTTTCCATATAGCCGACTAGGGCTACAACACGTTGGAGCACTCTATATCCCTAAAAAGATACCACGTTTGGGCACTAAAATGTAAAATGTATATACCTTTGTTTAAAAATTATATAATATATGTACATACATCCATAATATATATATATCAAAATAATATAGGTAACATATATAGGTAAGTATATACTATATATCTGTATATACCTTTAATCCAGCGCGATGGTAGTGGCACGAAGTTAAGTAAAAAAAAAAAACCGATCAGTCATTACCATAGTACATTACACGAGCACGATAATAATAACCGCATTCGGGACTTCCTACGATAGTAAATATTATAGTAGAAAGCGATAAAATGCGTAATCACAGACGTTATCGAAAATATCGAAAATCTATTTATCTGTAATTTCTAAAGTTGTATTAATAGTGTTAAAAAATACAATAGATACCTATCCATATTTATTTCACCATAAGTCCATATCAAACAGTCAGTCCGTAATCGCTTGTCAAGTGTGTAATGCTCAAGTAAATATTCTTACCATGAACTCCATAGATACCTAATATATTTGTAACAAAACGAGGAAGACGATGTGTTCTGATACAGGGATAGGATAAGCTATGTGAAAATATACAATTCATTTAATAATTTCACAAAAAAATTATCACAATCATCCGGCCACTTCATACTGTGGAGGATCGTATCGTTTTCCGTAAACGCGATATGTAATCAAAACAAAACAATTTGATTAAATAAGGAATTAAAATTCGAGAAGTGTTTATAATTTATTATTTTTCCGTAAATTTATTTGTAACAAAGTAAAATAAATATTCCAATGCGTCACTTAAATTATTTTAGATTTTTTTTTTTTTTTAAAGAAACAAAAATGTATAAGTGTGTGCTATATTATATTATATAAGTAATAGTATAACATGCTATTGATTATATATAAATTAGTTCATAAACTTATAAAGTACATATACATACACCACATGTAGTTTTCAAATCAGAATCTTCTCTATGCGTAATTAAATACTTTGTATACCTATGAAATATACATTAACTATAAGAGAAATAATAAATAATACTTATATACTCATAGTTAAAGAAAACTTTGATAATTTAAATTTTTGGCAATTAGCAGGGACTTGTTAAAAATCATAGTAAAACGGTTTTTGCTATGTGTAAACTGTAATTAATATTCTGATTTATGTATAAATGGTGGTTGATCGATTATGACTACAGCAAAACATATTGCTGTGTCTCATATCCACCAATGAATTTTAATAGTATTCGTAGAAAACTATTAAACTCTAAACCAAGTACGTATTCTAATTAAAAATTTAAATTTATATGTTATTTAATTATTCAATCATAATATACTATACTCGAGTTAAATATAAAATGATAAAATATTAATCACGATTAATTTTTTATTATATCATGTAAACCAGAGGCCGATCTATAAATTATTGAGGTTAGGATTTTCCACGGGTTTCATCGTTAAAGGGGTCCACGCAATTAACTTATGTACTATATAAAAAATTTCAGTACCAGTAAATAAAATCATGGAATATTTAAATAATACAAATTATATTGATTAATGGTTACTGAACGTATATACGAATTATGTGATGTCAGCAAGATAGTATTTACCCTACTATTAACAAATGTAAAATATACAATATACGAATATAATGTTAGTTTCCTAACTTTTAACCGAATTTTACTTATTTTTTTCATTGTCGGTTACTGTAACAAGTGCCAAAAGGATATTTTCAAAACATAAATTAATTGAAACATACCTAAGAAACATCATGTTCCAAATGTAATTCAGTGATCTTACGATGATTTTGATAGAAAATAAGCGTAGAAATTTAATTTATCGTTGCTGATGAAGACGTTAGATCAGTATCGTAGTAGGAAAAAATAATTTTCATTATCAATACAAAATTATCACTATTATTATTCTCCTTCATCTTTCTCTCTACTATTTGGAGTCTACCAAAAATTATTAAAATTATTGTACAAAAAAAATTGTATCCACGGGCCTCAATCATCGTAGTTCCGCCATTGATGTAAATGATAACCGTTCCTTTAGACTCATATACCGATCAGGGGTTTCAGTTTTTAATAAATACTATATATTGTAAAAATGATGTTTAAATAAAACTAATTTTCATTGATTAACTCAATTTAAATAATAAAAAATTAAAAATTCTTCGTAAAATTCAATTTTTTTTACCATGGTTTTTTGGTATTGCTATATCTATATGTATAATTTGACAATAAAATATACCAAGTTTAAATATAGTTTACACATGTCCATTTTAATGTTTGATTATAACTAAATGAGAAAGTTAACATTGAAAATATATATTTTTATGTTACCGTTCTTTAAAAATGAATACAAATGCATTCAGTTGATAGGTGAATGCAATGTGAAGCTCTGGATATCAACCATCGAATTATGTTGAAATAAATGAAATCTTATTTAGTATACCTTTAAGATGAACATTTTATAAAAAAAAATACATTTTCGTATATAACGTCAAATTATAAATATATCATGTATGAATAAATTTTATTAAAGAAAAAAACATTAAGAAATGGTAGTGTTGAGGTGCTCGTTTTTAATTTTTTTATACAGGTTTGATCATAGTTCTATGTTTCTTTTGGTAAACATGAATAAAATAGTAAACACATCATTGTTAATCAAATGTTAATTTTAGGTAATACATTTGGTAATATTGATTTCTTTTTAATTATCTCTCGGAATTAAAACATTGTATGAAAATCAAATTGTATCATATGGAATTATAGTAAATAACTCTACATTTTTTTCATATATTTCTTGTAGCTCCTCACAACATATTTTTACTATGTATACTAAAATAACTTTAAATATCTGTAATTTATAATTACCGAGCGTTTATAAATAAATAAAAATAATCATAAAAGTATATCATGTTCTAATTGCATATTAAAAAAAAAAACATTTGTAGATTTTTATCAGAGTGTTTGGTATAAATATCTATATGAGTCTTCTATGGGTAACTTTTATTTGGTATTTTACAATAAATACCGAATAATAAAAATCAATAACTGCTTTTTTTTTCTGTAAACATCGATTTAAATTGGTTTTAAAATCAAAATAAATTTTAAAACGGTTCTATAAATACATTTCTTGTGAATTTTACCGGCTTCAACCTGTAGCTATTTACTAATGAAATAATTTTGATTAACAACATCGTAAACATTATAATATAATATTTGAATAGCTCAAGGTAAAACAGTGTCTAATACATAAACGATTTTAGTCTTAATTAAATTTAAAGTAAACGAGATATTTTGAACGGTAACTCTCTCAACACCATTGTAGTTATTATTATTTAAATCTTTATTGTAGGTATACAATGTTATATGGCTTATCTACTAAAAGTACGCCAAAAAATCTTGAACGTTTGACTGGCCTTAAAATAGTAATGAGATCTTAATTAGATATTATAATTTACAAACGAAATTGGTTAGGTTTACCATTATATAAAACGCATTATTAATGGCTAATTTACATCTAGGTTAGGAATGAATTAAAGTTTTACAGAAAAAGTTATACTATATATACTTTTAACGATTGATCCTTTTTTTGTAACAAGAAAAATATAACTACTTGACACATGTATACATAAAAAAAATACATGCGCACTATAAGGTACAGTTACTGGTGGTAACTATATCATATTCTTTCAACTGTCACTCATGTGTTTTAATGACACAGTAATCTGAATCTTAAATCAGACAAAACGAGGGTTGTGTAATAAAATGTTCCGTTTAGTTCTTACTGCGTATAATAATACGCCAAGACACTATAAATCATGTGTACAAATCTTTCGAAAATATACCCGATAACACGCCTATTTGAACGAGGAAATGGATTTTTGGATGAGATTCCAATGAGTTTACGCGGCCATACGTTTAAATACAGAAAATATATTAATGAGTAGGACGTATCCTGGTGATTAAAGTAGTGTAGTTTTAAAAGAACACGTTTCCGGTCTAAACTGATACGGATGAACTAGAACAAGAGATCTCTGGATCCGATGTACGTGAAATGACGTTGTCAAAAGCTTAGTGTGGACTAAAAATGATTGTTACACTCACATTTAGCCGGTAGGAAAAAAGTTATAACGATCAACAAAATTGCCAGCATATCATTATTTTTGAATTTTAAGCAGACGTACTATGTGTCATGCAAGATAGCTATAGTATTTATAAAATAATACTTTGAATGAAACATAAGCTAGAAAAAAAACAAAACTACAATAACAAAAAAAAAAAAAAAGAAATTAAATCAATTGCAGTGTTAAAAAAAAAATTAAAATATTTAAAAATTAAGCCAGTATTTTTAATAGAAGTTTATAAGTCATGTGTAACATTTCTATAGGATGCTAAAATATAAAATATATTAAAATATTATAATTGATGTTGATATTACGTGTTTTACGAGAGAAAGTATAAATATTTAAGCATTTATCCTCGTGTCAAATTAAAAAAAAAAAAAAAAAAAACGTTAAACCAAAATTATATTTAACTATGGTAGGATTAAAAAAATTAATTTAATTCATGACTCGATTAATCATGACATATCGGTACATATCCATACAAGTATGAGTATATATATATATATATATATTTTTTTTTTTAGTTATTTTTAATTATTTTATGTATTTAAGAATAATAGTATTATGTTCATCATTA